ATCATGCTGGATAAATAGATAAATGCTATTATAATATTCATTTAAAACAATGAAAGTAGTGTTGTAAAAGAGGTAGATTTCTACTAATTGACTACATTTCCCAAGTTTAACGACAATGCTCCATGCACAAAGGTCACTCTTAGTTTTTCTTCAGTGTTACAGCTTCCACCATACATACAAAGAAAATGCAAAGGTTAAAGTCAAATTTTCCTTTCTACCATTTGTTAATGGTGATGAGAAAATTTTTAAATTAAAACTAAATTTGCTTCTTTTTGTATATTTATAGTGTCTGTATTGTGTGTGAGAGCAGGCTTTCTTAAATTTATAAACACAACATGTTCAGTTCACATGTAAATGCAAAGTATCTATTATTTCAGAGTTGACCACTCAATATTGAACAGTTTAATGCTCTTTGTTTCCCTTGGTAAAGACTATTTTTCTGCTTTCAAAACTTCTTAGTTGCCAGTAGTTCTTTGTGTAGGGTTGAGGTTATATAGGATTCTGCCCTTCTGTGTTAACATGTCTACAGATATTATCCTTGTTTAGGTCTGGCATAGGCAGCCATGATTATTTGACTTCATGGGTAAATTCTCTGACTTTTCTGTCTACCAACAAGAAAAAAAGAATCAAGATATTTGCTGACCAATGGTCACTTCTCCACCAACTATGAAATCCTAACTCTTACCTGGATAAATCAGTTAGCCTCTCTGTAACTCAGACTCTTACTAAAATGTTTAGTGCTCATTGGTATTGTAAATAAACTTTCACTGAAAAATAAGGGAATTTCAAAATTGTTAGTGACAGTTGCCCATAATGACAGTTGTGGAGAGAAGATGTTATTTACCAAAATCAGTCATTGCCTGACCACCTGGGTGGGGTCACTTTGACCGGGGTAGGCACAGTTGGTGGTTTTTCTTATGACGATTTATGACTCCTTGGCTGGAGCTAAATTAACATTGCATCAAACAAGGCAGGGAATTTCTCAAGGTGGCTTTTTCTGAGGATGGAGTTAACTCCATCCTCTCCAGTTTACCTTGCTCTTTCAAGAACCATGGTGGCAGTCATCTTTATTAGCTGGGCCTAGCAAGTAACCTCTTTTGACTTTGATCCTCTTCAAGCTATTCTTAACACGATGATAAAAGGAGCTTTTGTAAACACTAAATGCATACTTTTGCACGTATTTACAATCCCCAGGGGCTACCTGGTCATTCCAAGTAAATGTCACATGTGGTGAATGACAAGTTCTACAAGAGCACCCTCCTGAGTCAGCTGTCTCTTACTTTTATCTCTTTCTCCATCAACTCAGACTCTTTGGCTTCTTTGCTCTTGTTCAGCCATAATGGGCATTCCTATGTTTAGGGGAAGCACCTGTTGCTGTCTTCCCTGGTATTCTTCCAGACAGCTACAGCTAATCTTCTTCATTAATATTTTCTTCAACCCCTGGCTTCTCAATATGGAATTCCTGGGTTATCCTACTTACATTGAAATTACCCTCTGAAAACCTCACTCTCTTTTCCTTTAATTTTCCCCTCAAAATGTACTAATCGTGTCTATTCTTAGTAGTCCCTACTACACTCTCAGTTTTGTTAATTACCAGAACATTGAATCTAAAGCCTTCTTTGCATGCAGTGCTGTTTTGTGATGGTGCATATTGCTCTCAGTATTTGATGAAATTTCTTTCAAACAAATTGCCCGAGTTTCATAAAGAAAAGTTTACATCTTTACAATCAGTAAAAATGTTCTTGGTTACTCCTTACAAGCTTTTAGGGAAGTCATGAAGAGGATTCCTAATGAGATGATGATGCTTCCTGAGAGTGGAAGTAAGGATATAAAGTAGCAAGATGAGAAACATGAGATGGAGAAAAAATTTTTGGAACTGGCCAGGGCTGAGCCCCATCATTTTTGTTCTCTTCCTCAGTACGACATTATGTTACCATTTTCAGCTTCCGAATTAGGTTTACGATTCTCTTGAAGGGATTTTAGTACATTTGCATAACAAATCTCTGACCCTGTGATCCTTTGGTATCTCAAGTAAATCCTGATGAATTGCCAGCATGTTCTCGGACATTGCTGGACCTTTAGTAGGCTTTGATCTTTGCCAAATACCATTTTGCCAAATTGTTCTCTGGCCCATGGATGATTTTGTTTGTGTTTATCAAAAAGAAATTTTCTTCAACAAGAATAGTCAATCTTAATATATTTACTTTCATTGTTTCTGTGATAAAATATCTGAGAGAAACGACTTAAAGGGGCAAAAGGAATTATTTTCAGTCTGTCCACAGAGCAGTTCATCTGTGAAATGGTAGCATGAAGCAGAGGCTTTTAATATATTGGTGGAGCAGTAACCAGGGAGGGCTAGACTGGACCTACAGATAGAAATAGTCTCCAAAGGACAGTGCCTAATAACTCATGTTTGCCAGCCAGTCTTTACAACCTTAAGCTTCCACAAATATCAAAAGGGTCCCATAAATCAGGCACTAATTGTTCCAAACATGAATCTGTAGGGAACAGTTAAGATTCCAGTCATAATGTTTAGGAAGTAGTGGTTAGAAGTAACACATGCAATCAATAGGCAAATGTGCCTTTTCTAAATTATTTCTAAAAAGATACTTTAACATTAAGGAATATAGACTTTTAAGACTATGTTTGTAGAATATTGGCAAATATGTTGAAAGCAACTATAAAATTTGGAAAAAAAAAAGATGTTGTTACAACCAAAAAAAAAAAATAGCAGTCAACATTTTCTGAGTATTTTTATCTTAATATCAACCTAGTGCTATGTTTAGCTTACATCATTCCACCTGACAGAATAAAGTGATGCTGTTTTTCACAGAAGGGATAATTTCAAATAAATAGGAAGTCAGTAACTCACTGAAGTTTGCAGAACTGAGATTCAAATCTGCTAATTAGATTCTAGAGACCAAGATTTTGACACTTTAAGACACCCATGAAAGTGTTAAGGAGACAGGACCACTCCCTTGGGGACATATATGTATTTGTAGCCTTTGACCCTTTGAAAATGTTAACAAATTCTTTTCCTTAAAACCTTTTCAGCTATACTCTGACTTTAAATGAATCTTTAACATTAATGATGATAAGTCCATCATTTGTTTTCTTTCTTTAATAATCTATAGAGATTGCAATGAAATAATATTAAGTATAGTTGTTTTTTCTATTCAATGTGTGTTGATTTTGCTGTCAGAGTCCATAATATTTGATCTGAAATAGTAAATATATGTACTGAAGCAAATGGCAAAATCAGCTATGGGTTGTCGTTTTTTTATGATTTTCATAGGAATTAAATTTCCAAAGCCACAGAATTGGACAGAACATTGTAGAACTAAAGAAACCACAAGTTTCCTTTTTTATTATACAGAAAAAATCATTTTCCATATCAATCCCCTCATTCCCTCTCTCTCCCATCCTCCCATGCCTCCTACCAACCCTCCAACCTCCCACCCTACCCACTCCCAAAGGAGAGTGAGGCCTTCCATGGCGGATCATCAAAATCTGTCACATCATTTTGGGGGAGGGCCTAGGCCCTCCTCCATGTATCTGGACTAAAATAGTATTCCTCCATAGGGAATGGGCACCCGAAGTCCATTTGTGCATTAGGGATAAATACTGGTTCCACTGTTAGAGGTCGCATAGACTGCCCAGGCCTCCAAACTGGCACCCACATTCAGAGGGTTTGGTTCAGTCCAATTCTGGTTTCCCAGCTTTAGGACTGGGGCCCTTATGCTCTCACTAGGTCAGGTCAGATGGTTCTATAGGTTTTTCCTCTGCTCATCCCTCCTCCCTCTCTAGAAGAGTATGGCTCAGTGCTTATCTGTGGGTGCCTGCTTCTACTTCCATCAGATACTGGATGAAGTCTCTAGGATGGCAATGAGTCACCAATCTCATTATAGGGGAAGAGAATCAAAGGCAGCCTCTCCTCTACTGCCTAGATTCTTAGTTGGAGTCATCTTTGTGGATCTCTGAACATTTCCTAATGCCAGAAGAAACCTCAAGTTTTCTAAATGTACATGTTTTCTTTCTATAAATACATTTAGCATCCCTCTTGCATACCATCTTAGTCTACTTTTAATTGTCATTACAACTTGTCAAAGATTGAGTGGTTTATCCACAAGAAAACTTTATTTTTCACATTTCAGAAATTTGTAAGTCTAAAGTTTAGGTTCTGACATGTCAAGTCCTGGACTGCAGCTTCTCAATTGGAGATTTCTGAGTCTGGGCTGTATTTTTGTGCAGTAGAAAGAGCAGACTAGATTTTCAGATCTGATGATGACTCTAATCTGCTCTGGTGTTTACTCTTATTGCCTCCCTATCCCCAAAGGCCTTATGTACAAATGCCAACACATGAATGGAAGCAATACATGCATTTTGGAGGGATATACATATCAAATCTACTTCTCAGACCCTTATTCAAAAGTGTGCTTCACAAATATCTGTCCTTTCTTGAGTCATACACAACCTGAAGGGAGCTTTGATGGTAAAATGGACAAAGATTAACATTATATATTTTGCAGTCTCAAATTGATATCCTAAAGAACACAATTTTAAACAAAAAGCAAATTAAGTATCTACAAGAGTCAAGCTGAGTTGTAAGGTAAACTTAGCCTTATGATGGAGTCAATGAAACAAGTTTACATATTAGACATGGATGCAGCATTCCACAAACAGAGAAGAAATCAAATGCCTGAGCTCATGGAGCCATGGCCGGAGTGAATAAATACTTCAGACATTGAATCTTGTAAAATTCCACCTTCTACCTACCCACTATTCATCAAGTTTTCCTATTATATATGGTGCTGAACTTAAGTTATTGTCAGGACTCCTGTGTAATGCTATCATTCCGAACTCAGAGCCCCATGAGAGTACCTCCTCTAATTGTTTTGACTGGTTCTTGGCCTTGGGAATTGGCTGTCTGGCCAGTGTCATCATGTACGCACATTCACTGTCTTCTCCTCTTCGTGTATGTGTGTGTGCTTGTGTTGCAGAGAAGGGCAGCAGTCACCAGAACAGTGGCAGAAGATGTACGGGAGGTGCTCTGGAAATGAAGTCTATCACATCGTTTTGGAAGAAAGTACATTTTTTGCTGAATATGAAGGGAAGAGTTTTACCTATGCCTCTTTCCATGCACACAAAAAGTATGTTTCTGTTTCCAGTGGAGAATATACTCAACCAGTCAATCAGACCGTATATAAACAGTTTTCCAAAGTGCAGCCCATACTGGTGCTCATGAGTTTCAAGTGTTCTGACTTTTTACAAACATTTTTGTTCCATTGTAACTATAAACTTTTTGGTATCTACAAGTTAAATTTACCAGGAGGAAAACATGTAAGGAATATTTACTGTATCACATCTGTGACACTCATAACATCCTAGCCATTTAAGAGTTATCAACCACACCTCAATGAATCTTGCTACATAAATGAAATTGAAAATGCTGTTTAGTTTTGTTTGTATTTACAATAACAAAAACACTGGAAAAATAACAAAGGAAGAAAAAAACCACATTCCCCTCCTTGATCTTTTGAGGCAGGGTCTCATTTAGCTCAGGCTGGCCTCAAACTCACTATGTGGACAAATCTATTCTTGGTTACTGACTTTTTACTTTTGCTTCTGAAACAACTCATAACTATCCAAAAGAAAGTAAATATTAATTTGACTATAGCCTTTACATTATCCAAAAGGAATGTTAAATAAGTGATACTATATATACATGCCAATTTAGTCAGGGGGATTTTTTTCCTTTCCTTTTTTGACAAAATTAATTTCTTAAGGAATAAAAATTTGTATAAAAATTATCTATCTGAAAGTGTTTAAATGTAATCTATTTGGGCATTTTATAATATATTCCAATTAACTAATGCATAATTATTTAAATTTAAATCTCAATGATTCTATTTATACATTTCTATTACTAAATACATTTTAAGTTTGACTTACTAACTCACTCTGCATGGTTTTAAGATGAATTTTGAAAATAAGAACATTATCAAAAAGCAATGAGAAATATTTTAATACAATGTTACTCTCAACATTTTTAATTTCTTTTACTGAGAATGGACAAGCACAGAAGACTATTTTAAGTGTTTCTTTCTAAAGCTGAATTATGAGAAGTGGTAGAAGTTATAGCAAGGGCAATTCAGAAACATCACTTTCTTTTCACATGCATTTCATAAGAGTCTCCCTTGTGGCAATAGATTGTAAATATTTTGAGCAAGGTAAGAAATATTGTTCGAAGTTTTGACATTAGTAGTTATCTTAAAAAACATAAAACAATAGCACTTCTACTTTATAATCAGCAGTCTAACATTTGGTATTACGTTTTATATTTTGCCATTCATATATATATATATATATATATATATATATATATCATAGTGCTTAGCACAAATTAAAAAGATTTTTTTTTTAAAAATTAGTAGTGCTTAGCACAAATTAAATTGATTTTTTCTTTAAAAATTAGATTATTAAATGTTGGAATCCTCTCCTGCTTCCTAATTCTATTATTTAATATTCTTATTTTGTTCTGTCTGATTATAGTTGATTAAATTTCTTATAAATTTAAGCATTTAAAAGAACAAAAAGTTAAATCTTTTCACAAATGTAATTCTTAAACTCTTATATTCTTCTCTTAAATTAAGGTTTGGTGTCTGCTTGATTGGTGTTAGGAGGGAGGATAATAAAAACATTTTGCTGAATCCAGGTCCTCGATATATTATGAATGCTTCAGACATATGTTTTTATATTAATATTACCAAAGAAGAAAATTCAGCATTTAAGAACCAAGACCAGCAGAGAAAAAGCAATGTGTCAAGGTCATTTTATCATGGGCCTTCCAGATTACCTGTCCACAGCATCATTGCCAGCATGGGTCAGTACATACTCACTGGAATTACCATTAGTGTGTATTTTTTTAAGATTATAAATACACAACTGTATTACTAATATTTCATAGTCAGTTTCAAAACTTGTATGTGTATATTATAAACTATATATTACAAAATATGGAACAAAATTACTAAACCGTTGATGTAAGAACAAAGCAAAATTATCAAAAATTATTCAATAATTATTTTATGTTTCTGATTTTAAATGCTTTCCTTGTATGTTTTTCGTTAATAGTCTGTGCAATAGACAATTGGAAGTATTCCATCCTTTCAAATTCACTCACTCCATCTTACTCTTATCATTTATTTTGGTATTATTACACAAAAATGAATATGCATCCATTTAATATGAGATTGATTGTGTCATTCCCTTTATGTAATTCCCTTATCTTCACTTGCTGGGTGAGGCCCTCTTTTCTCCCTCTTGAGGTATTTAACTTGAATTTGATTTATCCTTATTATTCCTAACTCTATTACTCCCCTAAATCACAGGCTGCTATTATACCCTGCCATACATCCCCAACACAATATATACACATATGCTCTCAAACATCATGATTTTACTCCTCTTCAAATACCTCAAAATGGCTGGCTTCTGATGTTGTTTCAAATTGCATGCCCCTGGTGTCTGTCTTTACCCCAGTGTGCAGTCATATAACTGAATTGAATTCTCAGTGGTTTCAAGCCAAGGCTGTGGTGAAGAATGATTATGGAAAGTCACAAAATACAAGTTGAGTGTGTGGAGTAAATCCAATAAGCATTGTTATTAATTGTATGAGCATCTAAATGAAAGTAAAGGACTGAGGAGTTGTGAGATAGATAAGTGGATAAAATGCTTGCCACACAAACATGAGGACTTGGGTTTGATCTCAAGAAATCTGTAAGAAAACACTGAGCATGCTAACACACACTTGTAATCCCAGTGCTGAAGAGACAGAGTCAAACAAATCCCGGGGTCACTGTCCAGATAGCTCATTCTTATTGTTGAGCTTAACCAAGAGAGAGACCCTGTCCCAAAAAGCAAGGTAAATGACTCCTGAGGAACAGTAAGTTAGAAATCTAGCCTTCTTATTTTTTTTATGCTTTTTAATGTGCATTTACATATACTGTGTACCTATACACAGAAAAATATACAGAAACATTCACACACATGTGTACACATGTACACACGCACACAAACAAAAAACGAAGAAGAAAAGAAAGGTCCAAAATAAGATGACAGATAAACCTCGGTCACCTCACAGATATAAAGTTGCAGGAAATTTATTGCTGTGTATTAAACCCCAAATGAAACAAGAATAGTGCTATGTGAAATTTGTGACTATCATCCTAACCTCATGCATTGAAACCCTACTCCACCCCATTGCCATAGTATATGACTTTATTTGTAGATTGGGGTTTTTGAAGAAATCAAATTAAAATGGGATCACTAGAGTCAGCGTTATTACCATGTGACTAGTGTTCTGACAGGAAGAATAAATACAACAGAGACACACATACAGGAACTGTTATGAAAAGATGATGGAGAAGATGTCAGTCATCAAACCAGGAATAACACCTGGAACATATCTATCCCTCACCATACTTCACATAGATGTGAAGAACTTTGTTCTAAAACTTTATCCTTCAGAGAATGAGAAATTAATCTCTGCTATGGCATCTATTTTATTCCATGTTTTTATGGAAGTTTCAGCCAACTATTGAACATACCATGAGATTCATCTAGAAAAATAGAATAGAAGAAACCTAATAAACAAATAAAATACAGAAGATCTTATAGTCTGAAGACCTATGATCCAAAAATGCTTTTTCACAGAAGGTAAAGAAAATGGCCAGTGACAAAAATAAGAATTTTTCCCACCTCAAAACACCCTAGGTTACCTCTAGGGTAGAGGAAAATACCGTAGAAAGAACAAAACATTTGTAAGAGAAGTTGTAAAAAGAATATTTTACATTTTTTGGTTTTGCAGATCTAACTGCTTTTCAGATCTCTGATGGATTGTATATTTCTCATGCTCTTTCTCTGGGCTCACACTACTGGCAGATATCAGTATTGGCAGGAATACAAACAATAGACAAAACAGAGCATGTTACTTTTTCTCTTTTGTTTGTTTGTTTTGTTTTGTTTTGTTTTGTGCCACCAACAACTGGCCAAGAATTTTTCCTTTTTTTTTTTTTTTTCTAGACAGGGTTTCTCTATGTAGCTTTGAAACCTATCCTGGAACTAGCACAGTAGACCCAGGCTGGCCTCAAACTCACAGAGATCTACCTGCCTCTGCCTCGAGAGTGCTGGGATTAAAGACATGTGCCACCACTGCCCAGTCAGAGCATGTTTCTGTCAATATATTGTCTGTGTTAAAAAAGAAAACGACTAGGTATTTGCAGGTGATGTGCAGTCAGATATGTTGGCAATCAGGTCATGTAAATATCCCTTCCTTTGAAAGTGAGAAAGGATTTAACAGACAATGTTGGATCTCCTATGAAGAGAGATAGGTGTGTTATCTTCTAAATGAAAATAAAAAGGGCAGAGTTTGGTGAGTGTGTATGTTGGCCAGGAGGCATGTCTCAATATGCTTTTGACAGTCCTAAAAAGAATCTTGGCATGCCATATTTTCTTTTTATTTGGAAGTACTAGGTGACTGTGTAATTGTCAATACGGTAAATAGCTGTGCACTCACTCCTACAACTTTGAGCTGATAGCATACCAGATAGCTCTCCTTTGCATCTAGAAATCAATTTTACAAAATGTAAATCCCTTAAAAACCAGCCAAGCACCAAACAAACAAACAAAAATCCTATCATTCCTTCTAGAAACCTTCCTTCTTTCCCAGCAAAAGATGTCTTAGGAGCTCGCCTCTGATGTGGGTTTAATAACCACCATCATTATCTTTGCTCATGCCCTGCATTGACTCAATGCAGGCCCTTCTGTAAGGACTTCTTCTCAGGAGACCAAACCTCTTAATGGCCTCACTTCCTCTGATATTTCCACACTTGTATCCAAGCTCATATCACCTGAAACTACATGCGTTACAAATAATTTTTAAGGCAGGGTCTTACTGGGTAGCTCTGAAACTCACAAGACAGGTAAGACTGTCCTTGAACTCACAGAGATCAACCTGCATATACCTCCCCAATGCTGGGATTAAAAGTGTGTGTTACTATGTCTGACTGACCCCACATGTAAGTTGTGGCATACATTTATGCATACAAGATTTCTTACCCAGGGAAATGAAAGGCTTACCTGAAAAAGAACCAATTGTATTGAGATTCAAGAGAGATTAGTCAGGCAGATAGACAAATACACACACACACACACACACACACACACACACACACACACACACACCCCTTAATAATGTGATTGCATTTCATGAATTTTCACCACTAAGTGATCATTGTATCACAGACACTAGAATCATCCTAATGGGTTTTCTTGTTTCATTGTTTTAGGTACTGTGGCTATAGACTTGCAAGACACAAGTTGTAGGGCAGCAAGTGGCCCTACCCTGGCTCTTCCTTCAGAAGGAAGCAAAGAATTAAGAAGACCAAGTATTGCTCCTGTTTTAGAGGTTGCAGATTCATCATCAATTCAAACATGTGATCTTCTAAGTGATCAATCAGAAGATGAAACTACACCAGATGAAGAAACTTCTTCAAATTTAGAGTAGGTTTGATTTTCTAAGGGTTTTTTGTTTGTTTCTTTGTTTTAGTTTTGTTTGCTTGTCTGTTCTTTTTTTTTGCTAACACTTTTTATTTTAATTTTTGAGAATATCCTACATTATTCACATCATTTCCATTTCAACCTTCATGCTCTAATTCTTCCCATGTACCCCTACCTCCCTCTAAGTCATGATCTCTTCAGGAACAATTATTTTTACACACACACACACACACACACACACACACACACACACACACACACATATATATATATATACTCTGCCTCTGAAGCATTGCTTATATATCCATGTGTTTATATCTGTCCACTTGGGATTGGATAATCTGTCTGGTAGACTCATTCTCATGCCATTAATTGCCTATAGTTCTTCTTCTGGAGCTGGGGTTTAAGTCTTCCAGAACCTTAAAATCACAGAAAGAGACAGTACTTTTCCCTTCTTGATAATCTAGAATCTTCACTCCAAAATTCCAGTAAAAACACTCTTCTATTCAGTATTTTCTCACCATAGAGTATTATAAAACATCAATTTTTCTGCCTTTAATGTGTATTTCCAGCCCTGTTTATTTTCTAAATTATCTTTGAAAATAAACAATTTTGTTTTTGTGTGACGTAAATTGCCTTTTCAAAGTTGTATTTCATTCTACTACACTTGTATCTTTAATTTCTTTTATTCACATCCTATTTGAAGTTAGAATTAGTGACTTTGCTCACTGTTGTGAGAAAATCAAAAGCAACCTCAGGATAAGAAGGTTTATTTTGGATCACAGTTTGAGACTACATTTGATCATGACAGGGAAGGCATGGTGGCATAAGATGGCTGCTTATATTGTGGGCTGGAATGCTGAGTCCCCAAGATAATACTGCCCACATACATGGTGGGTCTTCCCACATGAGTTTCTTCTTTGGAATCATCCTCACCTATGCATTTTCTAGGTGATTTTAAAGCCTGTCAAGTTAGCAAGCAAGATTAACCATCCTGAAGTTCAAAAGTTTTTTTCAATGACATATTCAAATAAATGCCTTTAGCATTCCTTTTTTTCTATACTTGGAAGTTAGAAATAATTCAAATTTACAAATGAAAGACATAGTCTTCCTTTATTAAGCTTTCATTCTCTTACAGTATCGACCTGTATAGTAGTCATCACCTTTAAGCCTATCATAGGTGTTTACATTTGTTATCCCTCACATTGTGTTACCATAGGAATGCTGAAAGAACAGTAGTCCATAGGATTGACCTGCTTTCTCAAAAGATGTGTTTTCCATTCCAGATTCATCTTAGAATACTTGTTTGCAAATATAGCAGTCTGACTTCATATTCTCTGTTTATAAATCATGTATGATTGTCACCTCTTTGTATTATATAAAGCATAATTGAAATGATGGAGAAAAGTGCCAAAAAAGCAATATTTTGTGCTGAGCAACCAATGGCATTTGTTATTTGCTGTCACTGAGACTAGCGGTATCGGGACAGTCAACACTAATCATGCCCCACAGTAATGTTTGTATAAATTCACTTAGTGCTTTATTACGCTGAAACTGAGCTGTCACTGAAACCCAGAAAAATAACTTTAAAGTAATCCAAAATGCTTATTTGTTTCAGAAAATGTCAATGTACTTGAAGACAAGTCATGTCTCAAAGCATTCTGTGGTCCAAGTACTCAAGTCCACTTGTAGTATACAGGATGGGAAGCCAGGAGACTGGGCAACCATCCCTGCCAGTAATCATCCATGTAGGAAATTCTGTGTTAAAGTGTGAGGGAAACCTTTTCTTTTAGATTTCTAAAACATGGAGAGGTAAAAGAAGTCTTTTATAGGAAAATCAAAGAGTTATGAAAGTAGCAATGATAACTGTAGCATCTAAATTGATAAAAAAAAATGTGCGCAATTTTATCTCTTAAACAATAGTGTCTAGAAAGTAGTTTTAATAAGGCCTTAACTTCATAGTGTCACAGAAAAATGATCAAAACTCAAGAGCTTCCTTTGTGTGTGGGAAAATATTGCTTTCAGTAATTTTCTTTTATTTGCTAATTAACATTTATGCTTCTGCCCTTTAGAAGTTCTATGTTCCACACTGATGTAGCCAAAATGTGCAGGTGGCTGATTTTAAAAGTCAGTAAACAAACTAAATGTCTTTGATAATATTTTAAGAACAATTCCAGGAAAAACCCTGTTTTTTTTTTTCTAATTAACTTACTTTTTCTCCTTTAGTTATTTGTCTGGGGCTAATGAATACAGCAAACCATTATAATGCAGTCTGCTTCAAATACACTTTGTAAGACATAGTATTACTATTTGTTATAGATACATGCTATCTCCAAGAAGGAGGATTGAAAAATATTTTCTAGAAAGAAACAACTATCACATATTTGCATTTCTTGTTGCAGTTTCTCATTTCTCTAGCAGAATCAAACACAAATGCCTCCTTACGTAGTTTAGCATGAGTGTGAATGACTGTGTGATGCTGATTTCATGTGTAAAGAATTCAAACACCATATAATTTCCACATGACAGGAAATATTTTTTTCAACTACTGCAAATATAGTTCTCAAAAGTTTACAATGGGTCATATTTGATCATAATTTGGCTCATATTTCCTAAACTGTGTGATTTTCATAATATGTTGGAAGCATAGATCTACTAATTCTACTGTAATCAAATTTATTCTAATGTAATCAGGGTTATATCTGAGGGTTCCAGCTTTCCATGGCTTCTCCAGGAGTAACATCTCATGTTGCTTTCCAGGTATGCCAAGGGCTACCCACCTTATTCACCTTACATAGGAAGTTCACCTACTTTTTGTCACCTACTTCAAGAAAAAGTGCCCTTCTGCTGCTTAAGATTAGACAAGGTAATCATTTCTTGATGATGATGTTATTGGCTCACACAATAAAATTATAGCTTGTTCTATTGAACATATTTAAATGCTTTTATATAACTTGACTAAAATAAGTTAAAAGTGTATTACTTAACATATAAGCTTGATCATATAAAATGGTTAATTTTATTTTTTATCTTCACTAATAGTCACACAAATGTTTTATCTTTGTATTTAATTAGCCAACTTAATTAGTTATGTTTTTTAAAAGGGAAGACAGAGGCACAAAACGCTTAAAACCATTTTTGTTTATTGCTTAATTGCAGTTTGTGGTTGGTAGCAAATTAAATCTGTATTTAAAAATCTCTTGACTAAATTAGACAAGTATCTTTATGACTAGGTTGAAGATGTGTCTTGCTTCTTATCTTCTTCCCAAATTTTTTATGTAGTTCTCTCTTCCTGCCTGAATGCTTTAAAGAATTTACTCAAAAAAGAACAGTCTGAGAATGTCATCATTTTTGTCCTTTTCTTGGATTAATCCTCCTGAGTAATGACAAAACAGATTAATGTGAAGCATTACACACCCTAAAGAGATTCAGCATGCCTTGAATCCAAAACAAGGATTTCTTCATTTATTCTTTATTTGGGGTTAAAATTATAATGCCAGAACATTTTCATAGCCTGTACAACTTAAGAAAATCACTTCACAAATAAAGTTCATCTCCTTTATTTATAAAATGAACATAAGTTTAATGCTATGAACATGATAGTGTATTTTTTTTAAATTATCTTTTATTAGTTCAAATTAGAAACAAGCCTGCTTCCAATGTCAATCCCTGCTCCTGCTCCCTCCCCTCCTCCCCCACCCCCCACCAACCCCCTACCCCATCGCCCCTCTGCTCCCCAGGGAGGGTAAGGCCCTCCATAGGGGATCCACAAAGTCTGTCCTATCATCCTGGTCAGGGCCTAGCCTCTGCCCATGTGTCCAGGCTGAGAGAACATCCCTCCACATGGGATTGGTTCCCAAATTCCTTTCTTAGTCGAGGGGTAAATATTGGTCTACTACCAGAGAGCCCATAGAGTGGCGAAGCCTCCTCATTTACTTCCATGTTCAGGGGTCTGGATCAGTCCCATGCTGGCCTCCCAGACATCAGTCTGGGGTCCACTCACTCCCCCTTGTTCAGGTCAGCTGTGTCTGTGGGTTTCACCAACCCAGTCTTGATCTCTTTCCTCATCACTCCCCCCTCTCTGCAACTGGGTTTCAGAGTTCAGTTCAGTGTTTAGCTGTGGGTGTCTGCCTCTGCTTCCATCAACCATTGGATGAAAGCTCTAGGATGGCATATAAGGTAGTCATCAGTCTCATTATAGGAAAAGGGCATTTAGGATAGCTTCTCCAGTATTGCTTAGATTGCCAGATGGTGTCATCCTTGTAGATCTCTGGAAATCTCCCTAGTGCCAGATCTCTCCTTGAACCTACAATGGCTCCCTCTATTATGGAACTCCTACAGCTGATAAACACCTTCAGGAAAGTAGCAGGATACAAAATCAACCCAAAAAAAAAAAAAAAATCAGTAGCCCTACTCTATACAGATGATAAAACCAATGAGAAAGAAATCAGAGGAACATCACCCTTTATAATAGCCACAAACAAAATAAAATATCTTGTGGTAACACTAACCAAAAAAGTGAAAGACCTGTACAGTAAGAACTTGGAGTCTTTAAAGAAAGAAATTACAGAAGATACCAGAAAATGGAAAGATCTCTCATGCTTTTGCATAGGTAGGATCAACATAGTAAAAATGGCAATGTTGCCAAAAGCATCTACAGATTCAACTCAATCCCCATCAAAATCCCAATACACTTCTTCACAGACCTTGAAAGAACAATACTCAACTTTATATGGAAAAACAAAAAACCCAGTATAGCCAAAACAACATTGTACAATAAAGGATCTTCTGGAGGCCACACCATCCCTGACGTCAAGCTCTATTATAGAGCCATAGTTATGAAAACAGCTTGGTATTGGCACAAAAGTAGAAACATAGACCAATGGAATTGAATTGAAAACCCTGGTATTAACTCACACACCTATGAACACCTGGTTTTGGACAAAGAAGCTAAAGTTATACAGTAGAAAAAAGGAAGCATCTTCAACAAATGGTCCTGGCATAACTGGATTAGGACATGTAGGAGATTGCAGATAGACACATGTCTGTCGCCATGCACAAATGGATGAAAGCCCTCAACATAAATCCAGCCACACTGAACCTCTTAGAAGAGCAAGTGGAAGGTACCTCTGGACGAATTGGTACAGGAGACCACTTCCTGAACATAACACCAGTAGCACAGACATTGAGATCAACAACTAATAAATGGACCTCCTAAAACTGACTAGCTTCTGTAAGGCAAAGGTCACAGTCAGCAAGACAAAAGAATGGGAAAAAATCTTTGCCAACCCCAAATCTGACAGAGGGCTGATCACCAAAATATACAATGGACTCAAGAAGCTAGCCACCAAAAACACCAAACAATGAAATTAAAAAGTGGGGTGCAGAACTAAATAGAGAATTCTCGACAGAGCAATCTAAAATGGCTGGAAGACACTTAAGAAAGTGCTCAACATCCTTAGCCAACAGGGAAATGCAACTCAAAACAATTCTTAGATAGCATCTTCCTCCTGTCAGAATGGCTAAAATCAATACCACCAATGGCAGTCTATGCTGGAGAGGATGTGGAGAAAAGAGAACACTCCTCCATTGCTGGTGGGAATGGAAACTTGTATGACCACTTTGGAAATCAGTATGGTGGTTTCTCAGGAAAATGGGAATCAGTCTACATCAAGATCCAGCAATTCCTCTCTTGGGCATATACCCAAAGAATGCATATTCATACAACAAGGACATATGTTCAACTATGTTATAGCAGCATTGTTGGTAATAGACATAACCTGGAAGCAGCCTAGATGCCCCATAACTGAAGACAGGATAGAGAAAATGTGGTACATTCGCACAATGGAGTGTAAAAAAAAAAAACAGTGGAAAAAATCAGTGGAAAAAAAAACAATGAAATCTTGAAATTTGCAGGCAAATGGATGGAACTAGAAGAAACCATCCTGTGTGAGGTAACCTAGTCACAAAAAGACAAACATGGTATGTACTCACTCATAAATGAAATTTAGACACAGATCAAAGGATTACCATCCACATCACCAAAGGAACTAGGAAACAAGGAGGACCCCAAGAAAAGAATGCATGATCCCCTGGAGAATGGGAAGGCAACAGGATCTCCTGAGATAATTGGGAGGATGGAGGAGAGGGAACTGGGAGCTGGGAGAAAGAGAAGAGGAGAAGAGGAGGGGAGAGGAGGAAATGGGGGAACAGAAAGCTTGAGTTGGGGGAAGAATAGAGAAGAGCAGAATGAGAGATACTGTTCTTATAAGGATTATATTAGTATGTTTAACTTAAGGCAATTATTGAGTCGGGTTTCCATTTGTTAATATTCTTGCCTTTGTCTTTGCTACAAATGTTGTTTTTTGCTGCTCTTGAAGAAGACTGAAAGAATATTTGTATGCTGCAAACTTTATTCACCTAAAGTTAGCCAGAACATCTGTCTCTTGCTCCTAAGTATCCCATGTTGTTTCATTTTCATCAGGAATTCTGCTTCTCAAGGCTTTATTGTTTTGATTCCTTTTTAACTTCGATTTTTTAAGCATTTGATATCACTGGTATGCTCCGTTTAGGTGCTAAATTCACAGAGAAGTTTCAGTGATATTCACTTGCTTTGACTCCTTCCACGGGCACATTTTCCTGAGCCACGTTCTTGTCAACTATAGTACCTTTGGATGTTTTCCTTCAAGAAGGTTCTTAACAATTATTTTAGGGACTGTTGTGGCTGGACTCATTATTAATGGCAATAAATTTTCTCCAAACCACTAACCTAATTCTCACTGGAAGACTCAGCTCTCAAAAGAAGCAGGCCCAGTACAGGACCTTTAAAAGCAGTTTATTGACAACCTTTTGCTACATTAATACAAGAAAATATGTTATTTTATTGATACTTGGCTATAGAGTAAGATTATTGGTTATTTGAGTAACATTAGACTTGTACAATAGGATCTGGTTTGAAAATGGAAGTTTACTTTGGGATTATGGGATGGCAGTAATCAGTTGGTTCCACTGTGTCTGTGAAGTGTGTAGATTTAGGATGACATTATCACTCTGTCTCAGTGTCAACTGACTGTTCTGGCCAGGGTGTTGCAACACTACCTTAGCATTGTTTCCTTGGATTTTCTTAATGACTGTGTCCCTTCCATGTCTTGAAAAGCAATAGAGATCTCTTACCTTGTGGTATTTTATGGGTGTTGCAGTTCTAACTGTCCTAAGCCTTCACCTATCAATACTCTTCCTAGTGACCATATTTATTTCTTTATATGGCTATAGACGCTGAATATCAGAGCTGAAAAATTCTCCATTCCGCATCATATGAAGACTTGCTGCCCCTGTCCTTTACTGTTATCTTCCTTTAGATATTTTTCTTCTACTTTTCTAGATCATCTTCCTATGGCCTCATTTTCAGCTTTTGGAATTTCTGCAAGTGAGATTCGGTGGTTGACAATTTTCCCATTATGCCTTCCCTTGGATGCCTTTTACCTTCATCCTGGAAGGATTATTTGCTTGGTTTCCAACTCCACAATAGTTTCTTTCTTCAATGCCTCTGTCCTTCTGGCTACTGAAAATATCCATCATCCTTATTGTTATCCATTGTAGCTAATGTCTTTCTCCATGGCTGATTAATATCCTGTCATCTTTGCTGGTCTATGCCTTCATAATAAAGTATAGGACTATGTGATTATGTTTATTCATTTAGATTAAGACTCACTGACTTTTTTGTGGCTTGGTCACTTATAGAAAATTCTCCATCAATATTATTTGAATAAGATTTCTTTCTGATTGTGATTTCTATTTCAACTTCTAGCTTTCATTTTTGTCCTTTATTTTGCATCTCTGTGCTGCAGTTGATTCCTTCAGCTGCATTGAATAAGTGATTTGATTTTGTTTTCATTATTGGAAACTGAATCTCGTGTTTTACACGTGCTGAGAATGTGCTTTCCCACTGACCTTTCCTCAGTTCTGCTAACATTGCTCACACTGCTCAGCTTGAGAGGATATGTAAAAGTTAATATAATCTATTTAAACAACTGTTTGGGGTATTAAATAGGAATTTGTTAACTATTTAAGTGACTTTTCTTATTTCTTTGAACATACTGCACATTGTTTTTTGACTCTCATAACATCAGCATCTGGAGTTTCTACCATTTTTATTCACACATGGTGCTTCATTTTTACCATTTTAACAACAACTTTATTAAAGAATAACAGCATGTGTCCTTCATATGTAAGGAACACACAGAGAACTAATTAATATTAACCCAGGTAAATAAAAAGAAGTCTATGTAGAGATGTATCATGGGGAAGAAAAAACTATTAAAGGCATTAAATATACAGATAACTTATCTGGAAAGCAGTCTTTTAGTAATGTTAATTAATTTCTTCTGAGTCTTACCTCTCAGGAAATGAATCAATTTTCCAACAACTTTGTGCACTTTCCAGCTCTGTGATGAGTTTTGATCAAGGGTTGTGCTTTGTTTCTTCTCTATTGCTTTTTTACACTTTAAACCTGACTTGCACTTAAACAGCTCAGTTTTCTTCTTTTCTTGTTATCCTGCTTTATTTTCTTTTTTATTGCATGACTTTAGGTTCCTAAGAATAGGACTATTCCTTAGGATTTTTAGTCATAACATCAATATTTTTTGAAAGTGGAATTTGCATATCTATGCTACAGCCAAACAGATACTGAGTGGCTGTATAGTAAATTTTAAGTTGCAGTGCAACCAGTGCATATATAGTCCTCTTTCAGAAACAAGTTGTATACTGACCTCTCCTTTTCATTATTCAACACACGTTTATTTCCTACATCAAGTGGGAGAACTAGGCAAGGACAAATGTAACTATATTCCATTCTGTTAAAAAAATTAGTTAGATGAATTTAACATAACCATATATCCTAAATTCTTTGACCAAATTTTAGTGGAGTATAAAAATGGCGTTTCTTTGTATAATTTTTCTTCTCTAGAGTTGCCAACATAACTACTATGAGGACGCAAAAGCCTATGGATTCAAAAATAAACTAATTATAGTTGCAGCTGAAACAGCTGGAAATGGATTATATAATTTTATTGTACCTCTCAGGGCATATTATAGACCAAAGAAAGAATTAAATCCCATAGTTCTGCTATTGGATAACCCGTAAGTATATTTTAAGATACACAAACAGACAGAGCTTTTAATTTTCCTGTACATTAAATAATTTATGTAAATTTAATGAAACTACTTTAAATCAGATACATTATGGTGCAGAATTCAATGGGAGATAGAGTATATGCTATGATGTGAAACATTATTGATTATGATCATGTTTCAACAATACTAGTTTTATACCACTGCAATGGAGACTTTTATTTGAAATTAATATGCAAATGGTCATCTACTCATGGGACCAGTGGAAAGAAGCCACTGAAATACTATCACAAATTTCCTCAACAAGCCTGGAACACACCTGCCAAAATTGTAGTTTTGTTCTTTAGCCATTTAATATCAGAGGAGCATTTATTGGTCTGCCTTTATATTTTATATTATGGAATGTTATTGTGTATTTTACTTATGCTAATGTTCATATACGGTAACAAAAAGCAAGTTGTGCTGTATCACATATGTATGCCTGGAAACCTTTAGGTTGATTTACTTTGTTAAATATGACTACTTCAGCATTTTCCAAATCCTATAGATGAATACATAGGTCCCTGAATAAAAAGGTCAAAACATTTTATTTTAAACTTACAGTGCCCTTCTCTGTAATTGTAAATAAATGGTTAGTGTTAGAAGATATTAAAGCATAGGAAAAGAAAGCCCAGGAGTGTGACAATCAGTGTGTAGGATGGCCATAACAATACAAGGATTGCTAAGCTCCTCCTAGTCTTTTCAGTACACATAATTCTGGAGGTTCTCTGTGGGGAAGCTGCAGCTTAGTTGGAACTCCAGATATTTCAGTTAACTAAGTAAAATGCTGAGTTTGGGGCTGTTTTTCTATAAGAGGCTGTCATAACACTACAAACAGAATTTAAAATGGGCATTTCAGAGTGTCATAGTGTCGTGCTTATGAATGAATAGATCAAACTGACTCAGTGAAACCCCCCCCAGTAATAGAAATAAAGAAGGAAGAACCTTTAAAAAGAAGACATGGGACTGTGTTCAGAACACCCTCTGCCAGTGTTCATGCTGGACAGATCTCTTCCTCATGTTATTTCAATATAAAATTTGGTTTCCTGATACACAGTTCTTCCCTAACCGCCCTGAAAATATCTTTTCTTTTTCCCCAAATTTAGAGATTTCATTCTACTTAGGAAATAGAGGTATACTTCTCCTTTTCAGTCTCCAGTCATAAAGTAATCCTGATTCAGACATTTATTCCCTTTACCTCATTAGCATATAAAACATGGTCCAAACCATCACGTTCTTTTTTATTTTGAATAAAAAGTCACTAACATTTCTGATTCCTGGAGCAATGGTTCATTCATCAGGATTATATACTTCTGTGATTCTTTGAATGGCCTTACTTTCTGAATCAGATTAATCACACAAAACATAAGAAAACTTCCTTCTCTGAATTACTGACAGGTCACTTTTTTCTCTTTAAGGTCAACTATTTCTGTGTAAATATGGCCTTTCTGTGCTATCTTTCATGAATGAAACCATGCAGACTAATTTAAGAAGTTGGTGTGCTTTGCCAGCACATGGCTTATAATAGTAGTAAATGTTAAATATTCACATTTTAGTTTTTATTTTGCATTTTATACATTCATATTACATAGAAATCCTGGCACCGGAGAGATGTATTCAGGGAGTTAGCAGTCTTAAGGCTTGCATTTAATTTAAAATTTTGAGTAAATTTTTGTTATCGATGCATTGAAGCAGAGATAAAGATGTAATGACATCCAAGTAAAGTTCCCATGGTTGATTGTCGAGTTAGGTCCAGCTATGTAAGAACTAATTCATTGTTCTTTCCTCTGGAGCTTACCCTAATTTATAGGTTTTATTACACACATATGAGCAATATGCATTGTTTTCAGTTAGTTTTATAGACAACAATCTAACTTAACTTCTGATATTTACCCACCTCACCAATTGCTGACAATCTGAAATATAAATCTCCACATGGTTCTGTTGTTCACTGATTTCTGCTGAGCATAATTTTATTTAAGTTTAATGTTTTAATTAGCATATATCACATATTATGATTATTACAATTTATTTACCAAATTCCAAGAACATGATATAAAACCTTCAGCTTCTTGTGTATGTCTCAAAAATGATGTCTAATGTTTTTACTTATCTTCATTTCCTTTGATGAAGAATGAGGAATAAAATCTGGACTACAATAACTAATGCTCCTGGGAGTTCTATGCAATCTTTACTCCCCCTTTGAAACAATGGAACACCTGTTGCTCTGAAATGGCTTCTGTTCTGCAATTGATTGTACAAAATTACATAGAATGCTGCTCTTCTCCTTAAAACAGATCCATAGTCCCATAACTTTTACAATCATCATCCTTTATACTTTGGCAAGTATTACTTAATTTTGAGGTTACGATGAAGTTTGTTTTTTTTTTGTTTTGTTTTTTTTTTTTTGAGACAGGGTTTCTCTGTGTAGCTTTGGAGCCTATCCTGGCACTCGCTCTGGAGACCAGGCTGGCCTCGAACTCAGAGTGCTGGGATTAAAGGCGTGTGCCACCAACGCCCAGCTATGACTAAGTTTAAAAGAGCAGTGGTGAAGCTAATATTATGCAAATGACTATTGAGATAAATTAACCAAAAAGTCCAAATTAATTCCATATAAAATATAGATGTGTCATAAATGTGAAGTATTAAAATGTAAATCCAGTTAATTCTGCCAACACATAATAGTATGAAATAGTTGTTCAGAATATTTCCAAATAGAAAGACTTGCACATTTCAATGGTTATCAAATGAAAGTCTGGCACACTGAAAACATCTTTTCTGTGGCTCATCAAAGCAACTCTGATCTGTCCACAGTTCATCAGAGTGATGTCAGTTCTGGTTGGTCACCATCTGTTCTCCTTGGTATGTAGAACTAGAAAGATTACAAATATTTTTAATATACCCTTTACTTTAAATGTAATTTTTCTGAAATTTAGCTGGAAGTCAAAGCTAGCATCTTTTACCCAAGGTTATACCACAAAGTGCCAGACCAGACAAGATGGTGTGCTTTCAGGGTAGTATGGGATAGCCAAGCTGCCGTAGTACACACCTTTAATTCCAGCACTCTGGAGGCAGAGGCAGGTGGATGTGTGTAAGTTCCAGGCCAGCCTGGTCTACAGAATGAATTCCAGGACCGACAGGGCTGTTACACAGAGAAACCCTGACTTGAAAAGAAAAAAAAAATGTGGCATGTACACACTGATGCCATTAATTTTTACACTGATAACTTGTTAAATCAATCAACCTCTTTGCATATAGTACCTAAACACGTCAGCTTATTTACAAATTATTGCTAAAATATATGATAAACCAATCCCCCCTTGTCCTATAGAAATATACACTTTTGTTGCAGGTAGACAAAAATGAGATTTAAGCTTAACTTATAGAGCAACCTGGGCCATGTGTATTCTTGTGGTCTCATCTCATATTTTTTTTCTTTAATTTGAAAATGGTGAGAAAATTTAAGTTATAACATACTAGAGCAAAATCTGACCTATGTGACAGCCTGAAAATGCTAAAATTTCTTCTCCTATTAAAACATTTAACATCATTACTATTTAAATTAATGGAAAGGTCTTATCTAAAAACCCAGTTGATAAGACAAAACAGTCTGGAGATATGGTTCAGTGAAACAGTGCTTGCCTACCATGTGAGAGACCCTAGCTTTGAGCACTAGCAAAACATGCACACACACACACACACACACACACACACACACACACACACACATTCATTTTAAGTACTTGCAACTAAGCTTAAAGCTTTTAAAAAATTATAGGAGTAGAAGTGTTTTGCCTACCTGCATTTCTGTGCAATGCTGGATGGACTAAAGCCTACCAAGCAGGGAAGAGGGAGTTTGATTCCTGGAACTAAAGGTATAGAGTTTTGAGCTGCCTATGGATGTTGGGAAATATTCAGGCCCTCTGGCAGAGCTGCCGATATTCTTAAGTGCTGAGCCATCTCTATAGCTCTTGATCGAACAATTAAAAAAACTAAATCGAATGCCTAAAAGTATAGTTGTAATATATTGATGAGATAACTATTGCCCATAAAAATATATTACTTTTTCCTTGAAGTTGAAATGAAAATATTGCGTGTATTAATTTAATTGAACAGAGAAGTGCTCTTGAGTTTTGCAAATTGGTAAAGTTTATGAGCCTTTTCACTGTCTGGCAAAGTTTTAATATACAAAGTGTTGTTGTGAGAGATTTATGAAGATATGAGTCTTCATATTCACATATTCAGTGTTCTCAGTAGACTCTACAGTTAGAGCTGTAATTAACTAATGTGCTTATTTACTTTTACTTGTTAACATTGGCTGCTTTGAATATTTTTGACATTTCTTTATTTATAACTGGTTAATTTGTCGCTTAGTTTGGGTGTGGTCTATGAACTTGTTCTGATCTATACCTATTTCCTTGACATATTTTTCAATGTCTTTTAGATTAAAAAAGAGCTAAATCATTTCTTTATACATTAAATCTTGATTTATCTATTTTGTATAAACAACAAGTTTTACATTTCTTTTAACATGGTTACATTATTGTGAAATTTATAGATAAGTCATTTGATCCTTTTCACCATGTTTCTTTAAGGTCAATTCTAACTGAACAGATAGGCTTGTCTATTTGACAGCCAGAAAAAAATTCCACACATTTTATTCACTTTTATTAATAATTTTCTTATATTTTAAACTTTTCATTGTACTTTGAGGACATACCTTAAAAAAAATCAAGGGACATATTTGTAATGAATGCTGTATGTGTTTGTTTAGTTTCTCAATAATACTGCTTCTCAATGGAAAGTTGTGCTTTCCAATTCACTGTCTCCCATGAGTAGTAAAATTGACCAATTATGTCTTATTCAAATATTAAGTTGCTTGGAGTTGTAACTATTGTTGTCAACTCAGTTAAATGAGCAGTTACAAAATATCTGAATGCAAAATTATTTATCCTTTTATATATCTAGCTTCTTTTAAATCATAGAGGAGCGTTAAAGCTAACATGTTTCTCAGGTATATGTATTTACAGAGTTTAGGGTACTTGATTTTCCTTTGATGTAGTTGCAATCACATGAAGATGAATAGTGTAATTTTTATTTAAAAGCAAGTTCAGGCTCATTTTAAATACATGTTGTAAATACGTCATGAATAAAATTCATGAGTTTTCTTTAAAAGGGGCTTTCTTCTAAAAATTAAAGTTTGTTTTCTCTACCAGTCAAAGCAGGGAAAAAAATCTATGAAGGTCTTATCTTGAATTTTAAATCTCACATGATGGTGTCTATAACATAAGGAGATATGTGACCCAATAACCTGAGAACATTTATTACTCAGAAAACTTTAAGACTTAATGAATTTTATGATTCAAATATGCAATGGTTTGTAAAAGCATAGACTGGAAACCCAGTGAGGAAAATTGCACAAAGAGATAGTGTAAAGAAATTGAAATGATCTGAACCTAAAAGAATATGGCAGATTAAAATAGATACCACCATAACACATGTACGTATCGACAATTAATAATTAAGAATAATACTTTAAAAGCCTGAAACAAAGAGGCTAGTATTGTAAAATTAGCCCAAAATATGAAGGCAAAATTATTTTTCAGACCCCAAACACCTTGATCTTTCAATGCTATTGGTGCTATAATTGTGAGATATATCAAGATCCCCAAAACATTGCACTCCTAATGTTAGAAGCAACAAAGTGTCTAGGAACAGAATTGAAATCTGTATCCTAAATACCACAAGTATGTATGTTAGAATAGTGACTGAAAACAACATATATCAAGAGCTTTAAGGATGCTTAACGACTCATAATAGTCTCTGCTCTGTGGATGCTTGGGTTCTTGATGAAACTGATGTCCAAAAGTCATCTAAAGGTGTGTATGCCTATGTTATACTTAAAATAGGCAAATATGATTTATGCATAAAATAATTCAGTATTTTCAAAACTGAATTATGTAATTTAAAACCATGTAAAAGTGCTGGTGCACTCAATATTACAAATAAATTCAATGGGGGAGGAATTTAGTCAAAATGTTAACAGTATCATCATTTGGAAGGTTTTGTTATCACATTGCTGTATTGAACTTTATCTTTAGGGTTTAAAGAGATAGGAGGGGAATCAACTTGTAGAAAATAGTTAGGAAAAAACTGATCCAACTGAGGATCAGCATCTGGGAAATTGCAAGTGTTCTCTCATTACCTTGACCTAGAATTTCCCTCTCGTACTTGCCAAATTCCCACTCATCTGTCAACATACAAAGTAAATATTACCTCTCTGTAATATTCTCCCATTCTGTCTCCTGGATGCACCCAGTGTTTTTTGTTTACTTTAATAATAAAACATATTGCATTTTCATGATTTTGTATATGCACTTAAAATTCTACATATCTTATAAAATAATTGGCCATGGTTTTTAAATATAAAAGAATACATTTCATCGCTCACTAAATAAAGTTTGGGTCTGTATATTCTGAGTGAATGAATGTATGAATTGAAAACTTGCCGGGCGTTGGTGGCGCACGCCTTTAAGCACTCGGGAGGCAGAGGCAGGGGGGGCACTGTGAGTTTGAGGCCAGCCTGGTCTCCAGAGCTGGAGTGCCAGGATAGACTCCAAAGCTACACAGAGAAACCCTGTCTCGAAAAAAAAGAAAAGAAAAGAAAAAGAAAGAAAGAAAGAAAGAAAGAAAGAAAGAAAGAAAGAAAGAAAGAAAGAAAGAAAGAAAGAAAGACTTAAGTGGATGTAACTTACTAATTGAGTTCTAAACAAGCTGAAAGGTTATAGTTTCTTTGCTGTGCTTAGAAGTGAAGATTTCAGTTATAATGAACATTTGTCCAATGATATACATTAGGGTAAGACTGTAGAGATAAACATGGAACAGGACCAATGTAACTTTATATAACACAGTTTTTCATGCATGTATAGACTTTATACCTGACACATTGAGATACAAAGCGTGTTGTGATTATATACATTCCATAGACAAGTCTCTCTGGATACTCAAGCTTACTAACTATTCTTTAAAGGCTTTTGTGGTGCTTGAGGTCATCTGAGAAAATAAAAACCATTTGCTCTTCATTATCTAATCCTCTTCTACATTGGGTAACTGAACTAATTGATAAACATTTCGTCCTAACCTAGAGTAATACTGAGGGATTTTTGTAGAATTATACCATAATGTTTCTGATTTATAATTCTCAGTTCTTTAGTGTATCATACATTTCATAAGAATTGTAAATGATATTCTGAAGCAAAAGAACAATTTAGGATGTATCTTGTCTTTGGTTTTGAAAATGTGAACTATGAACTTGCTTCCCTTCCCTAGAAGTGCTGCCCCTGTTGTGACACTGTGTTTCATTTTGTAACCCATCTGCTACATAGGCCAGATATGCATTTTCTGGATGCAATCTGTTGGTTTCCAATGGTTTACTACATGGTGGGCTCTATTGACAAGTAGGTGACAACATCTATGGTACATGACTAGTGTAGTGTCCTGTGGTCTGTCAAGTTCTGTGTCTTGTTCCTGCATGATGAGTGTACTTTGTCGTGTGGATACAGTAAATATGGTGACCCATGAATGCAGAGCTCATGTCTCTGTGTTTTGCATCTCCAATCATACTGCCTAAGCCGTAATTCAATACTGCATTGCAGCATACCTTGCTGCATGGCAAATTGGTGCACACTATTTGTAAAGCTTTTTCAGTCTTGTGGCTCTTTCAAAAGCAGTATTTTTTGCAGTAATATTATCGCTAAAGTGGCACCAAAAAATACTTTTAAAATTTCACATTGCAACGCCATAAGGCCATTACCATACCTTGAAATACAAATAGTAACAATTTCATAATTTATAATGATATCATTTGCTAATTGAAATATTATGTCACACATATAACTATGTAATGCAGTAACATAAAATGTAAATATATATTAGCACCATTAATTAGAAAATGTAAATTATTACCAGGCAGTTAACATGAAATGCTACTGCAAAATATTTATGGCGATCAAAAAAGAAATTTATAGAATAAAATTCCCAAGGAGGAGATGAACTAGGATTGATTGATTATAAAGGAATACATATTGAAAGTGGGTCACCATATCTATATGCACGTGTATATATTAGAGAGGGAATTATATATGGAGTGTCCCTGTATAATTCTTGTTTGCTTTATTTGAATTTTCATGAAAAATAAAACCTATTTGGAACAAGAATACTTCCTCACACTTGTCAATTTCACATTCTAGTCCTTAGTAAAACTGAGTAATGGAAGAGAGAAAAAGGCATACCAGGTTAGAGCAACTTTTGGTTTTACTGCTCTCTGATTGATTTTCATTGGCTGCCATCTGGTGGCTGACCTATGTAATGCAACCATGCTTTTAAAAATGATACAAAATAAAGACGTAGCAGAGAGAAGATAGGCAGGAGTCATAAAAATAAGTTCATAACCTACTCAAAAAAGCTATTTTGTTAAATAGAAAACTTAAATCTTGGAGAACATATATAATCTATATGCCTCATTAATACCATCCGAATTATATGTATTACCTATAAATTCTAACACATATTTTAGTAATAATTCAACGTCCTTAGTAACTACAACAGGGAATATGGTAAAGATGGATCAATGGAGGCACCTGAGAGCAGGTGGATACAGGAAACTTAGAACACTTAGGAAAATTTGTCCGGCATAACATCATTTTGTGAAATTATTTATGCTTTGACTTAGTAAAACTGACTTGCAAGTTTCTATTTTCCTTCTATAAAATTCTAATAGAGAATTTTGATGGAGAAAAAGCTTTTGAAGGCTGAAATATGAGGAAATAGCTTGAAATTAATAGACATCTAGAAGTAAGATGACTTAGTGTTCATCTTATTCTCCATAACTGACCACAGCTTTTTTTTTTTTTTTTTTCACCTTTTTCCTGTGATCCTGTGGCTCTTGGATGAAGGAATTGCAAATGCTGACAAGCACATTACCACTTGCCTAAGCCCCCAGTCCCTGCCTGATGCCTTCTAAAATGTAGTTTAATCGATGCAGGAATAAGTGCAATGAATCTTCTGCACCTAAAATCTGGTATACTATGGATTTAATCTTGAAAATAATAATTGTGTGCATTGGATGCTAATATTCTGGCCTATTTTCTCGTGGAAATTTTTGGGGGATGATTTTGTTTTTAAGTTTTATCTATAAAACCTCTGTCACAAAATAGCTCCAAATTCAAAGGCAGTATTTGTCTTTTTTTTCCTGGATTATTCCTGAAGGTACTAGGCTGAGTCCTTGGTAATGCCTCTGTCAGGTACGTGGCTATGTGATCAAAACACGTGCTTTAAAGAGATGTGTGGAGACTAACTCTAATGAGCAGCAGTAGTGACAGTAGGTGTTCAAATTTTGTTTTTACGGTTTTGATGAAGAGGTCTGGGCTGATTTTCTTTCTATCTGTGTTCACTGTACCCACTGAACCCTGTAACTACAACATTCCTGTACTGGGTCTAGTTTAGTCTCACACCATTTTGTCCCGATTGTGTGCGCTTTTTTTTTTTTCTTTTTTTTTTTTTTTTTTTTTTTTTTTTTTTTTTTTTTTTTTGTCCATACAAAGCAAGGACAGTGAAACTGTTGCCCTTCTTCACCCTCAATGGTAAACATCCTTTTCTTTAATTTGCAAGGAAACTGCAGGGACAGGAGCAAACACTGACTAGGTAAAACGTAATTGTACTCTAGTTTTTCTAGTCACCTCATGCAGACAAAGAAACTTGGGCCATTCAATCCCTTTCAATCCCTTCCTGAAAACTTGTTCTAGCTTTATGGTAGCATTTTAACACACACACATACACACACACACACACACACACACACACACACACACACACACACCATACTCTCTTTGTAGTGCAGGAAAAATCTGCAGTATATAGTTCTTACATTAATAAATGTAGACATTTAAAAATACTTATCACATGGCTTTACACTTCTACAATAGCTTTGTCAACTGAATTAGTATAGTCCTTGCCCCTCTTATACTCCCACAAAAAGCTCCTTAGAAACTTGAGCCAATTGTAATGTACAATCCTTGAGTAGTACATTCACTGTAATAAAGAATTGTTATCATTATCATGATTTCTATTTACTGTTAATGTAGCAAGTGTTACTAAAAACAGATACCAAATATGGGTTCTTTGGAACAGTTGGTATCTGAAGAATTCTGATTTACGTATCACCAGATCATATTTCATCATGAGTCTCCTTAGTGCCTGTGTTCCCTATTAAATTCAGCTACAAGCACAACATTCATAGGCCTACCAATAAGCAAATTTGGACATTGATTGAGGTATTGTGGTTTATTTAAAGCCATCTTTTTTTTCCTTGTGGATTTTTATCAAAGCCTAGATGACTTGCTCAGGTGTGGCGTGACCTTTGCAGCCAACATGGTGGTGGTGGACAAAGAAAGCACCATGAGTGCAGAGGAGGATTACATGGCAGATGCTAAAACGATTGTGAATGTGCAAACACTTTTCAGGTACGTGTCTGCTCTTTGTGTTTTCCGATGTAAAGTATTTGATTCTACCTGTGCATGAGGAGTGACCATGTGACAGGAAGCCTGGCCTTGGGTCCTTTGTTTATTCATTTGATCATGAAACAAATTCTTATTTAGTACATAACTTGAAAGTTTCACTGTCACAGATGGCATAAATTTCTGTTTTGTGAATGAGCATTTAGAAGCTCAAAGGAAATGTGTGACCTACTGAATTAATACAGTAACTCAAATCTTGTCAAGTCTTTCACCATTCTCTTTCATTCATCTTTGTGCCTTCCTTGGTAGCAATGACTATGCCAATTCCAAATATGTCAGTTTATAGGGTGAGTTCAGAATTCTCAGGTAGTAACTTAGGTGTGAGCCCCAATTAGTATGACATTTTGATTTGTGGTTTTTAGGGACTTCCTTTCTCTAAATATCAATATATCACTTTCAAGGCTACTTATGATTTAAATATTTTAATATATCATTATTTGGATATCAAGATACCAAAAATATATCATATCTTGGAACATACTTGTTATTTTAAATATATGTATTAACATTATATACTATAATTATGAGCCATACAACTGCCAGTTTCATGTGACACAATGGAAAATTGAGAAAACTTACCCTACTAGAGACAGCAGCAAAGGCCATTGGGCACCATGTCCACCTGTCATCACTAACTTTATGACCTAAGTGTTTTCCTTATCTCATTGAACTATAATTTCCCACATCCATAAATCTCTGAGAAAATTAATTCACCTACCTTGAAATGGCAATGTAATAACTACCACACCCAGAAAAATATACCCTGAATTTACATGAGAATTGCTAGCTCTAGCAGGAAGAATATATACTGTCATGTTCTTACAGTGTGGTAGCCCATGCATAATACAGCTAATCTGACTGTCCTGGATAGAGCATTGAAAACTAATGTAGGATTTATTGAAAACATGCCCTTTGTAAGCAACTTGTTTCCTTAGAGAATGAAAGGAGGAATAAATTCAATGTTGAGGTCCACAGCTAGTGCATAAAGTAAGAAAAAACATAATTCTTTTCCTTCCATGCTTTCCAAAAGCTAATTATTGTTTTTAGAGATGAGTTTCAAACTAAATGTGCTATTTTACTTCCAGTGTCCTGTCTTTAATTCTGTAATGACAGTTAAGGTTGTTTAAATCTTTATTATCTACTCTTTGAATGGATTATATGATTCCTAGATAACAATAACTCTTTGTCTTGCTGATAGGTATCAAGGTATTAATTAATTATTTGAAACTGACTGACCAGAGTTATTTTAGAGAAGACACAAAGCAGATCTTCTCTCAGGACCTGGCTGATGGATGGATGCATGAATGAATGAGTGAATGAATGAATGAATGAATGAATGGTGAGTGAATAATGTAAGATCCCTCAAAGACTAGTTTCATCTTTCTTTAAGAAGGGCTCGTTCCTACATGAAGAATCACAACCAACTAGGAATTCTGAGAACAGGAGAAAGTTCTCCTCCAGGAAAGAGTACAATTGGTTATCCAGTTCCAAGTGGTCAGCTCTGAAATCATATTTGGACAAACCTTACAGGGACTGAGGAGATTGTATTAATATATTTACGAATGTATCAGTCAGCAAGTAAAGAAATCAAGGTCTTAATTGAAAGACAGCAACTGAGAGTATGGGGGAGGATTTGGAGGTAGCAAAGAGAAGGGGGAAATGGTATTTTAATTCCCAGAATCAAAAAATCAGAAGAGTAGGATATTTTAGAAATTGCATAATTTTTATGACATTTAGGTGAACAAACTCCAAAAGAATTTCAGAAGAACTGGTAAATAATTTTTTAATTTTTATTTTAATTAGAAAGATTATTTTACATGTCAATCCTAGGTCCCTCTCACTTCCTTCCTCCCCTAACCCCCCCCCCCAAGTAACACTCTACCTATCCCATACTATTTCTGCTCCCCAGGGAGGGTGAGTTCTTCCATGGGGGGGATAATCTTCTAAGTCTGTCATAGTCTTTGGGATAAGGCCTAGGCCAAACCCCTTGTGTCTAGGCTCGGGAAGTATCCCTCCATGTGGGATGGGCTCCCAAAGTCCATTCCTATGCTAGGGATAAGTACTGATCCACTACAAGGGGCTCCATAGATTTCCAAGGTCTCCTCACTGACACCATATTCAGGGGGTCTGAATCAGTCTCATGCTGGTTTCTCATTTTTTCCTAACATCCATAAATCTTCATATTCCTATAACCACCTTGTATTCTCTGAACTGATTCATCCACCATTTCTCTGTCCCTAATTAAGCTTTACTCCCTCTGCCCAGACTGAATTCCAGCCCTTCACTCCATATGTCAATTTATAGATCTTCACTAAGAAACCTGCCAATGTGCAGAGTAAAATTGTAAGTTTTTCTTTTCCCTCATTCTATTAATTGTTTTCTAATATCAGACCAAGTGCTAACTTTTCTACCACTTCTGGGAGTCTCATGCTCACCCTGAAAGCATCTCACCAAACCCCCATGATGCCACCAACTGACAAATGTCCTAAGCCTGGCTCGAGGAAATCAGTGACTCTGACAAAGAAAACCTGTTTGTCTTTTCAAATCTATCTTCTCTTTCCCAGCTGTGCTGAAGTGTAGATGTATAGATTAAGATACACGGGACTTGATTAAATATAGGTTAATTTTATTCGGGGAGAAGTCACTTACATAAGAAACTGATGACTTGCAGGTTCCAGCTCCAAAGATCCACACCCAGGCTGCTCTCTGAGACCCGACCGGAACCAAGAGAGAGAGAGCCTATCCCTGACCCCAGTCCAAATACCACACACTCACATATGCACCTGTGACCACGCCCAAATAGGCGTGATCAGCACCACAGGTGTGGCTGGGTGGATGTCTCACTACACAGAAGTATCTTTTTTGCCCATCTATTGTTCTCCTTGCAAAAACTAATAAAATTGTCCTTCAGTTTACTTCTGACTGTGTTTTTAAATTCAGCAAATGTAAGAGCCAACAACGGGAAACCTGTGTTCTCCAGCAACAAGATAAAGAAAAGGAAATTTAAAAGGACCAGGACAAAGGAAATTAATCACTATCAGTGGCAACTCCTGTGTTATGTAAATCCCTCTGCTGGAATAACTAGCTGATAAAGATGAAGTCTACCTTTTGTGATTAAGGCTAGCTTTGTGGCTCTAGGGAAAACTGCAGGCTCCAGAAGCTTAACAGGCTAAGTTTGGCCACTCATCACTATATGCCAGTTAAGAGACAAGTTGTCTTAATTTGTGTTTCTGTTGCTGTCATAAACACCTTATCCCAAAGCAATTTGGGGATAAGAAGTAGTTTGTTTCAGCTCACAGGTTACTGTCTGCTTTTGTTGGGAGTCAGGGAAGGAACACAGGCAGGACAGTGAAGAACACTACCAACTGGCTTGCTTTCCCTGACTTGTCCAGCTTGCTTTTTTAATACAGCCAGGTCCTTCCTTCAAGAAATGACTCGACCCAGAGTGGACTAGGTTTTCATGCATTAGTTAACAATGAACAGAATGCCTCACAGATATGATCCAGGAAGAAATCCCTCACCGAGGGTTCCTCTTTCTCAAATGTGTCGTTAACAACAAAAGCTACCTGTATGAAACAGGGAATGGTGAAAAGTAGAGAAATGAGATTTAAACCAGTGTACTGCATAAAACAGAACAAGAGGATCCAGTGGTTCAAAGTTCATCTTCAGTTTGTCATTGAGCACTTTGAATTTAAATAGACAAAGAGTTGGGTCACAGGGCAAAAGTTTTGAAGAATAGAGAAATCCTGGCCAATTTATGGCTCCATTCAACATTGTCTCAGCATGGTCTCTATAAGACAGTCAGAAGTTGTCTCTGCTGTCACAGCTGTAGCTGAGAGGTGAAGTTGTAATAAGGTGGTTGGTCCTTCCTTCTCCAGGATACTCCTTTGCCATCACAGACAAGTACCCTATGTGGTGAGTAGGAGAAATTTTCTGGCAGAACACTGCATACTTGACCATACTGTGTCCAACAAGTAGTTAGACTGAGAAGGATCTCTGTTTTTAAAAGAAAATTAGAAAGGTATTCATGAAGTCTGTCTGTGTCAAAATACATTAAGTTAGAAAAGACAGATCAAAATTGAAGAAATTCCCTCATTTCTTTATCAGAGATAATTTTAGTAACTTAATTATTTTGTTAAATATAAATATTTTTAACATATATACCAAAAGGTTCATATTTTTAGACAAATGAGGTACATGTAATATCAATTTTCTATAAAGATAGTTAGGATTCCATTCATTTTGTTTTTACACCTCAACCTTGAGTGACTGTGGTGATACTCTAAATTTATGGGAAAATGCCCTAAGCAAATATAAACAGAAGGCCAGTAGAAGACAAGATGACAGTGTTAGGTAATCAGGCATAAGAACCTTTCTTATATCAGACCTCAAACCCATTTCTGTGTGTGGCTGTGTAAAAGCAAGTCACTGTGAAGTCCAGGCAGACCTTAGACACATGATTGTCTTGCTTCAACCTCACAATCATAAGATTATAAACATGACCCACTGAGGGTGAACTCTCCTGTCCTTCCATCCAGTACCCCAATAACCTTAGAGATATATGCTTGATTGATAGCTTAGACTTGTTTCTTCTTCTTTATTATTATTTTTTATTTTTCTCCATTTTTAATTTAAATTAGAAACAAGATTGTTTTACATGTCAATCCCAGTTCCCTCTCCCACCCCTCCTCCCCTGGCCCCACTAACACCCCACTTATCCTATACCATTTTTGCTCCCCAGGGAGAGTGACACCTCCATGGGGGGGTCTTCAGAGTCTGTCATATCATTTGGGATAGGACATAGGCCCTCCCCTGTGTCTCTAGGCTGAGGGAGTATCCCTCTATGTGAAATGGACTCCCAAAGTCCATGCCTATGCTGGGAATACGTACTGATCTATTTATTACAAGAGGTCCCATAGATTTCTGGGGCCTCCTCACTGACACCC